ATCCAACAATTTGTTGATAGAGGCAGATGTCATCATCTTTGAGCGTTTGATGGATATCATCTTTGGTAGATGGGCTTAGGACTGTTCCTGCTGGGAGTGGGAGATCCTTAGGTATACTTTTCTCCATTCCCAGCCGCTGAATAAGTTTTGTTGTATAGGCAGTTTGATGAATGCGAAGTGTGCGCTTCTGCCTATTTCTTTCCACTTGAATTCCGACGAAAGTGTCAACTGGTCCTAGCGCTTTGCAAATCCATTTATTCATGATGTCTGATTTGACGGAATTTAAATTTCCATGTTTCCCAATGATTAGCATATCATCTACATAAAGAAGTACAAAGACACCTCTACCTATAAATAAATTTGGATCAGCATCTCCACTCTTTAAAGAAATTCGATTAAAGTGATCTTTGACTTCTTTGAACCAAATATGCGGGGCTTGCTTTAAACCGTATAGTGATTTGTTAAGTTTGAGGTAATTTTCCTTTCGATTGATTCCAGGGTGTTGTAACAAAAAGAAATCAGGTATCTCCATATAAATCTCTTCTTCTAATTTTGGATTTAGAAAAGCTGTATCCACATCAAGCGCTTCAATTTCAAGATCGTCTACTGCAGCCTTTGATAGAAGTATCCGGAGTGTGTTGTACCGTATTACCGACGCAAAAGTCTCGAAGTAATTGATACCGTACTGCTGTTCAAATCCACGGACAACGATTCGTGCTTTTCGTCTGTCTAAGCTACTGTCACTTCTGAACTTCTTTCTAAGAACTATTTTGCTGGATATTATTTTCTTTCCAGGAAGTGGAGACCCAGTCAAAATCGTATATGTGTTGGTGGCTTGCAGAGAGCGCAATTCTGATTTTATTGCCTCTTTCCATAATTTGGGATCTTCATGCATGGCCTGTTCAACAGTGATAGATTCAAATGGAGGAGTGGGCACTTGAATCGATGACGACTCACCGGTATTAATATGGACTGCTTGTGCAGAAATAGCATTTGCTGTAACGACATGATTGAACACAGCTTTTGCCACTCTTCTCAGCGGTCTGCCAAATTTTGATTTTGGCGGGAGCAAGGAGTCTGCCCAATCAATGGTTCGATGGCTTCTCGGATAATCTGAGGAGTACTTTCTTTGAAGTTCATTCGCCCTCCTAGATATTCTTGCTCTACTACCCCTGTGGTGGCCTCTTCCACTACTGCAGTAGGATTACTAGCCTCGACCATGGGTTCGCGTGAGAGCTTCCTCCACGCGTTCTCGTGGCAGCTTCCTTCACGTCTTATTACGGGAGTCTGTAGCTCTACCGAACCTATGTAGGTCTCTTGCTCGTCCATTCTAATGGGAGCCTTCTGTAAATAGCGTTGATCAGACGCATCTCCAGCCTCTCGCAGGCGAGTTACAGGATTTTGCAATTCAGAGTCATTTTCGCCCGAACTCATTGCCTCAATAGGGCGAATTGCAGCGTACTTCTTACGCGCTTGCTTAACACCTTTCTGCCTAGCATCTATCAGCTGCGGCTGGTACATCTTTGTTCGCTCTAAAGGTACTTATCTAGGTGTTAGCACATCTGGTCTATCAGGTAGAGTAAAGAGTGAGATGTCAATTTTAGGGAATTCATATTCATTGAACTCAACATCTGCAGAGATTGTGTCTCTTAGGGTAAGCGTATCAAGTAGCTTCCAAATTTTCGTCGAAGTCATTCCTATCATGATGAATTTTCCTTCTCTAATGTGAGGTTGCCATTTCTGAGGAATTAACTCGGAAGGGTAAAGCACATCTGCTTTGCACCCGAAAACTCTGATGTTGGTTAGATCTGCAGGCTTTCCATGATAAGCGCTGTAGGGAGTGAATTTTTCTGGGGCGTCATTATCAGCAAAAGGTAGCGCGGATGTGGGAGCCCTGTTCTTGATCCAAGCCGCATGCTCGACAGCGTAATCCCAGAGCTGGTGAGGTAGCTGTGCCTCATATAACATAGACCTTGCTATAACTGCTATAATACCCATCCATCTTTCAACAACTCCGTTCATTGAGTGTTTGTATGGTGGGCTTGGTTCAAATTTATACCTACTTCTTTCAAGTAGTGTTGAAGGGCAGTACCAAATTCACTCCTGCCGTTGTCAGCCCTCATATAGACAATTTTATTGCCAGATTGCAATTCAGCTTCGGCCTTTATTTGCTTGAATGTGACTAGAACCTCATTCATTTCTTTCGTTCTTAGTAACCTGACCCAGCACATCCTTGTTGCATCATCTACCATGAGGAAGTAGAACCAATATCCTCTAACTGAGATGGACTGGATTCCTGAGATATTGCAGTGAACTCGACAAAGAATGGTGCTTGAACAATTGACAGATTTCTTATTAAAATTTTCCTTCATCTTTCCTGCTAAACATGCTTCGCAAGATTTTGATCCAATCGGAATTGATCTTTTCTTGTTAGGAACTTTTAGTCCAGAGTGTCCTGTTTTCAGAACCTTGTCAATATCTTTGATGTTAATATGGCCCATTCTTCTATGCAAAATGTCCCATTCAGTCTCTGTTTGGTGTGGCATTTGTTGCTGAACTTCTGTGGCTGATGTTGCTTGAGGTATTGATTTTGTTTTAACTTTGAAGACACCATCCTCTCCTTCTGCTTCAAACAAGATTGAGCCGTTTCGTGTTATTTGACAATGGCCATCAGCAAACTTTACATTAATGCCCCTCTTATTGAAGGCCCAGATGGACAGAAGCCGCATTTGACCAAACTCAGGAATAAACCAGACTTCTCTTAATTCAATTATTTTATCACTAGTCCTAAAAGATATATTGCCATAGCCTTCGCATTGAATAACTTTTCCATCTGCAATTTGGACAGACTTTGGACTGCTCCATCTTTTGAGCGTAGAGAAATCATCTCTCATACCACTGAAATGTTCTGACACTCCGGAGTCAATTATTGTGAGAATTTCTCTGGGCTTGGTGAGTAATGCATGTTTTGTGACACTTGGGAGAGCTGTTGCATTAGAATCCAGAAGCCGTATAAATTTAAGGAGTTTATGAATTCCGCTGGTGATCAAGCTCTGTATATTTTGGAATTTGTTTTATATTTTCGGATTTTACTTTTACATGATTTTATTTTGAGTAGGGCCAGACTTTTATCCATATTTAGCTCTGAGCAAGCTGTGTGACTGTGTTCAAGATAATAAGGTAGGTAGGGTGAATCATTTGCATTAATATTTCTAACTTGAACATAACGAGCGTCGGCATCTCCCCTAGCTTTATTCTTTTCCTTGGCTGCTCTACTTTGGGACTGCTTAAGGCGACAATCGCGTTCTACATGACCTTTTCTACCACAAAAGAAACACTCCTTTTCGTCCGTTGCCATTCCTCTTTGCTTTCCTTTTCGGTTAAGCTCTCCGCAAGCTTGATCACGACGATCAAAGTGCGCTGTATTGCGTCCCCTTCGATATGTACCACGTCCTCTTTTTCTATAATTGCTGCGTGCTACATTTGCAGATTGTGGTTGATGGGATTGTGTATAACAAATGTTAGACTTGCAAGATTGAAGATATATAATTGTTTCTGCTAGACTTCTACCCATGTTTAGAGCGTGTGATCGAGCCGTAGACCAAATCGAGTTATCCTTAGGAAGAGATGCAATTAGCTGCTCCTTGACATCTTCCTCGGTGATCGGTCTAGAGGTCATTGATAGCTTGACTCTGAGATTATTGAGGCGTAGAACAAGAGATTGGATTGTGTCTGTTCTCGGATCAAGCTTCATGGAGGCGAACTTGGATCTCAATTCTGCAATGGATGTAGGATCTCTGTTTGGATCCATTTGGAGGAGGAAGTTCCATAACCCAGCGGGATCAATGTTCCTCAGAAATCCGAGCGACTGCTCCATCAGTTGGGTTTCGATGGAGTTGGATATGATTATCTGCGTGTCGCGGGCTTTGGATAACCATTTCTGTTCCTGTATTCGAAATTTATTGTCATTGGCATCAATTTCATTGTGTGCTGCACCGGAAGAGGCTGATCGTGTATTCGGACGGGAAGCATGCGTGTAATAATTAGCAATAGGTTTCTTCCAAGTGCCATCAGCGATACTTAAAACGCCAGCGTTTATTAAAGCAATCTCGCAAGTAATCCGCCTCTCTGTGAATGTTCCGAGGCTCAGAATCACAACGTTCCCCCAATTAGATTTGTACTGTGGAAGACCGTCGTGATTGCGGGTGTCTTTTATTTCTGTAGTAAATGAAGACATTGCTGCAGATTGTTCGAAAAAAAAAGCCGATGAATAATTAGACACCGGTCTCATAACCTGTTGGGATATTGAGAAAGTATAGTCACGGGAGTAAGATAATACAGATAGTAATATACAATATGTGAGGAATTGTATGGATGTAGGACTAAGGGTGTGTAGTGATAAAGGTGTTATGTACTAATGATGTGGACACCTTTCACTTGACCAACTAGCTGACTAAGCAGCATTTCCTGACAGTACGCAATTGCCTCCCTCATTTTTGACGTAATATTCTACTATCCATCAACTTATTTCACACTTTATCTCTGCACCCATCATTCTAAAAGTTATGTTCCACTATGTCTATGTTCCAAGAAATTTTCACGAATCAAGAGAACAATTCGATTGATTATATTCTCCAGAAATGCAGAAAAAGGCACGGCAAAGGCGCTAGCTCTAAACTGGGTAAAATTAAATTCCGAGCTCTTATGCTTTCAGCTAACAGATTAGTTCTTTATAAATTGTACAACAGCTTATATGAGTACACCCAGCCATTACGAGACAAGAGGAACATTTCGGAACTTCGTGACTCATTCTATAACTCTATGAAGGTAATAATTGATGGAGATGCTGATCTCAAATTGTTTGAACAACTTGAGAAAGATATTATTAACAAAAAAAATGAGCGTGATACTTGAAACTGGCCATTGATCTTGCAATAAAGTTTCCGTTAGAATCAACAGTAGGACCATGGAACAGCTTGACATCAATCCGTAAAAATTTTATGGACGGATCCAATATTGACATGACGGCCCAAAACTTGGAAATATATTTGCAGAATAACTTGCAAGACAACATATTCTGCGCTATCCCAAACTTCTGGGACTGTTTCTTTGAAAAAAAGGACTGGACCGACCAGGCTTCTTGTATATGGGAAAGCTATAAAAAGTATGAGGTTGCTGAGGAGAATAAAAGATCGAGGGAGCTAAAAGCAAAAAATACTGCAAAAGGCGTCGAGGAACAGAAACGTCTTCATAGAGACAAGGAAGAGAAAATCCTAGAAGAAGGCATGACTGAAGGTGAGACATGGGACTGGCTCACCTTCTTTGAGGAGAATTTCCTTAATCAGCTCAATGGCTGCACAACAAGGTCCACAAAATATCCCATTGTCATCGAAGATAAGGGCTCCCTTCTGCAAGGGTGGTATTGTCGTACGAATAGGACGCAACGTGCTCAGGAGTCCAAGGGTACTACTCAGATTGACTTACTGATTAAAAGCATTGACATACGGGATGATGATGTTGATTGGGAAAACATGAACGTTGGAGCTGAGTTCACAGTATCACCAAGTAAGTCTATAAGAAAGAAAAAGTTCCTTCAACTATCAAGATGTGCTCGTGAAGCATACTGCGCTCAGCCCCTGCGGCAATTTATGCACGGATTTCTGATGTTAAAAGAAGAATTCGAACTATGGGTTTTCGATCGCTCGGGCGCTTACAGCTCGGGCAGAATGGGTATTATAGAAAGCAAAGAGATTTTCGTGCGAGCATTATGCTCATATTTGTTGATGAGCAATGAGGAACTTGGGCGTGACATGTTAGTCCTGCGAAAAAATGGACAATCCACAGCAAATTTCACAGGAAGTGATAGTAACTCAGACCAAATATTTGAGATCAAACCTAAGCCTGTCATACAGTCAACGACCCTAGTCACTCGAGGGACGAATCAACCATGATAAAGTACTCGTGGAGCAGGTCTGGGGATAACGACGAAGTCAGATTCATGAAGGATGCACTTCCAGTACCAGGTGTCGTGAAGTACAGAGTATCACAGTTAATATATCAGACTAACAATCACCTGGGAAACCTCGATCTTTCCGGTGCCGACCCCTAGGATTTAAAGGCGGAAGACCATAATGTAATCAATGGGTCTAATTACCAAGCTATGACTCAACCGTCTTTGGAAAGAAATCGTTTTCTTTTCAGGATTGTGATGACACCATGTGGCAGAAAAATTGACACATGCGGGTCGATCCTTGATTTTGTGGCCGGAATTAGAGATGCGATCAAGGCTCACCAGAGGCTTGTCAATATTAGTATCTTACATGGAGATGTTTCCGAAGAAAATATTATCCTGAAAGATCCAACTACAGATGATGACTCTCATGGTATACTGATTGACTTTGATTGATCCATGAAGTTGAAAGGAAACGTCGCAGAGGATGAAGAACTGTTCTTAACAGGCACTGTGAAGTTCATGGCAATTGAGAGATTAAAATCCGCTGCAAATTCAAAGCTTTCCATCCAACAAACTTATTGCCATGATCTAGAATCATTCTTCTATGTGTTTCTTGCAGGATGCATAGAGTACGAATTTGTAGATGAGGCGAAGCTTCGAAATCTAGACAAATGGTGTAAGGGTGAAATTGATACTTGCTACTTGTCTAAATATACGGATATTTTAGATCTTGAAATAATTCTCGATAAGTTCACGCCCAGTTTTGTAGGACTAAACGAACTAGCCAAGAGCTTACGAACAATTCTGTTTAAGGATGAAAACTTTTTCGCAACACCTGAAGATCGTGGATCAATTTACAGGAGAATGATTATGGCTTTTGACAAAACTATCAAGGACATTAAAGGTAAGATAGATTTATGACTGCATGAAAGTATTTATTTTTCTTACTCGAGCTTTGCTGACAAACTGTTCACTTTTAGCTGGAAAAATTATAAATTCAAGTTTCATAGCACGTCGGTATCAGACCGCCGCTCGAGCTGCTCTTCTCCGAAATTTAGTACGAAAAATACCCGTTAGGTAGAAATAACACCATTTCGTACTCGGTTAAACTGTGGATTAATTACCAAGTGTCAAAAGGAGGAACATAATGCTCTAAATGTTGGCTAGGTCGAGATATTGAACTTTAAATTTTATTAAAAACTTAGTCCTTGTATTGTGTAATGATCACTTTAAGGAGTTCTAATATAAAACATGGAAGGTAGACTTGTCTATGAAATCAACTCGTTAGAGGTGTAAAATGATTTTCCATCAAAACAGATCCAACACTCGAGATTTACATCTTGAGTGAGGGTCCGTGCATGCTAACAAAACAAACCAATAACCACGTGATAAACAAGCTAATTGTACAGGGTATCTTGCTCTCCGGTTCTCCTAACTCCTGGCTAATGATGACAACTCAGACCCATAACAAGGGTCATGAGGATCCTGGAATTGCAATGTATTAGACTTATTTCTCAACACTCCCCCTCAAGGCAATTTCCATTACTCATATCCTCCCACTAGTCCAAGCTGGTTTTTGAATCTTTCGAATGCCACTCTTTGAAGAGGTTTTGTCAGTCCATCTGCTATCACCTCGCTTGTGGGTACATAGTCAATGACGAGCTTCCTTTTTTCGGCCAGGTCACGAATGAAATGGAAACAGATGTCAATATGCTTTGATCTCTCGTGCAGGTGAGGGTTCTTGACTAGTGCTAGGGCTCCTTGGTTATCTCCGTACATTTGTACTGTCATTTCGTTTACGTTGATAACTTGGGGCATTCCTAAATCGCGGAGGATCTGTGCGGCCCACTGGCCTTGTTTGGCGTACATAGCTTGTGAAATATATTCGGCTTCGGCGCTTGACGTTGCAACAGAGTTTTGTTTTTTCGAGGACCAAGAAATGGGTCCACCATAGTACATGCAGACTCCCCCGGAGATACTCTTCCGGTCCATCTTATCTGTCGCCCAATCCGCGTCAGTGTAAACGGCAAATTGCTGTGAATATGCTCCCCCTGGTCCGAATCGGAGTCTCTGTTTGACTGTTGAACGTAGGTATCGCATGAGGCTCTTGAGAGCTATTCCGTGGTGCACTGCGGGGTCTTTCATGAATTGGGATAGTCGACCAACAACAAAAGCGATATCAGGTCTAGTTAATACCATTGCGTACATTAATTTCCCAATTCCTCTCTGATATTCAGTTGCGTTGATTCGTTCATCTGATCTGTTTGCTGGGCGAAGGTTTTCGTAGTCTGCTGCAGGGATCTTCTTGCTCATGTGTTTTGCATGCGTTATGCCGAATTGATCAAGAGCTGCGGACAGGTACTGTTCTTGGTCAAGGTAAATGGTGCGATTTTTTTGGTCTCTTGTAATTCTTATGCCAAGAATCTTCTCAATCTCCCCCAGATTTTTGGCATTAAATTGTTGAGAGAGCGCTTTGAAAAACCAATTAAGTTTACTGTCATCATTTGCTGCTGCGGCGATGTCATCAACGTACACGAGAATCCAAATATTTCTTTTGTGATGGACGTAGAGACATGGGTCCGCAAGACTTTGTGTGAACCCAATTGATACGAGGAAGCTTTTCAGGAGTAGATTCCAGTCTCTACCGGCTTGTTTAAGTCCGTAAAGGCTGCGAAGGGCTTTAAGTACTTTTCCTTTTGAGACTTCTACTCCTTCTGGTGGCTTAAGATATATTTCTTCTTGCAATGTGGATTCCGTGAAGGCGTTTTTTATGTCGTAATGGTGGCACTTCAAGTCGTATCTAGCCACCATTGCTAGAAATAGGCGAAAAGTGTCCATCCTAACAGTAGGTGCAAACGTCTCGGTGTAGTCGACTCCATATTGTTGACTAAAGCCTCTTGCTACTAAGCGGGCCTTGTAGCGTTCTACAGACCCATCCTTCTTTAATTTGATTGTAAAAACCCATTTTGTCGAGACTGTGTTTGCCCCGTCCGGCAGAATATGTTCTTCCCTTGTTCCATTTGAAACTAGTGCATCGATTTCATCTAGTATAGCTCTTTTCCACAATGGGCCGTGAATCTTGTCATTTGTGGCCTCCTTATATGTACGTGGTATTGGAATACCATTTATAACTTTCGTGGGGAGTGCATATTCCTTATTCACATCTGATTGATTGGTGAAAATTGCGTAGAAAGCCTGTATGATGGAAGCTTTAAGCTTGCGGTCGTTAGGAGTAGCTGAAAAGGTATGTCTCGCTGAGAATGAACTTTCGGTTGCTCTTTCAATATTTTCATGTTCTTCCATATCAGAGAATATTTTTGCTAATAACGCTCTTCGTATTCTTTTAATTTGTTTGTCCTCATCGTAATAATCTGTATTACTTTTACGCCTTTTCCGAAAGAAATATCTAGGCTCAGGGACTGATGGTAAATTCATTGATTCGAAATTTCGCTCTGGGGTCTGGGATGGTTCTGAATCTTGGATTGCTTCGATGGTACTGTTCCTATTGGAATCAATTTTGATCTGGTCGTCTTTATCGCCTTGGATGGCGTCATTGGTCTCGCTTAAGATTGGACCAGTGTCACCATGATTATCTTCTTCAACTATGGTTCCTGATGGTGGTACTGACAATTTATTTTCTTTTCTCTTCTGGGATTTCTTTCGTTTCCGTTTTTCTTTATTGGACGTTCCGGTAGGTTCTGAAGTATGTGTCCTAGGAGAAGGTGAAGGAGATGCCGTAGTAAGTGCTGGCTTTGGATTGGATACTGGGGCTGCTTCCATTGCCGGGTCCGGTATTGGAGACGGTATTGGAGATGGAATTGTAGCTGGTGACGGAGCTGGTGGTGGAGTTAATACTGGAGAAGGTGGCACATCAATCATCACATCTTCGAATATTTTAGCCCCCGATTTATCGTTATCTTTGCTGGGGCGACCTCTATTATTTCTCAGAGGTAATTGGTTAGTGGTTCCTTGAGATGTGACGGCGCCCTCTCTTAGCCTCAAGTTGATCATTCCTCCCTTTACTTTTTCGTCTATTAATACAGCATTTACTCGCTCTACTCGACCTAGGTCTGGGGCGTAGATTTTTGTGTGTTTTTCGGTGTTCTCGGAAAAACCCATGAAGACACCCTCTCTTCCCCGTACAACCAATTTGTCGTGTCTTCCTTTAGCTTCTAGTGTTTTTGGATTGACGTACCCATAAGCTTTGTAGCCCCAAGGTCGTATGTGCTCGATGTTTGGCCTTACTCCCGTATAGGCTTCAAGTGGAGATGAAGGGCTTCCATCAATAATAGGTCCAAGGGGAAGTCTGTTTCGGATGTATGAGTCGTATTCAACTGCTTCGTCCCAAAATTCTATAGGTAATTCTGCATCATCAATCATTGTCCTGATGGTCATCTCAGCAGTTTGAATACTACGTTCAGCGGGGCCATTTTGATGCGATGACGCGATGGCTGTAAAGTTTGCAACAACTCCATCTTCTCGTTCCCATTGCAACATTACGTGTTTGAGTTCTGGTGCGTTATCGGATCTGGTCGATTGCAGTTTCCTTCCTGTCTGTTGTTCTTCTCTAACCCTTAATTTTCTTAATTCAGATATGGCTCGGTCTTTTGTCTTCATAGGGATAGACCAAGTTCTACGAGTCCAGTTGTCAATGACCTGCAGGAAGTATCTATATCCGCGAAGAGACTTAGGGAATGGGCCAGCTACATCAAAAGAAATGAGTTCCAATGGTTCTGTCTTATGCTGAGCAAGAGTGTTGCTAATTTTATTTCTCATTTTTCCAATCTTACAAGACTTACAAATTCTCTTTTCGGGGATAGGTATTTTAACACGATCAATATTCGAAGTTTTGTGAAGTTTACTAATAATATTTGGGCCGTAATGACCAAATCGACGATGCATTAATCGGTAACGTGCTCTTTCTTCTTTAGTCTCGGCTGGGTCATCATCAGATTGGTCAGGGTCTTTGTCTGAGAAATCAGGGTTATCTCTGCATTT